CTAGTAATTAGAAGAGTTGTGTGAGGGATCTTCTTATAGCAACTAATCTTATTGTTAGTATTGGAATTTCTCGTTGAAACCACTCATGTATGCAAAGTAAGATTTAGTTGACTATTTAATGATCTCAACCTCTCGCATGTGTTTAAACCAAAGCTATTTTATCACCTTATTATTTTTATTTTGTCGTTTATCATCAAGAGAAAGCTTATAATTATTGTGCTCTAAAATTTAAGCGTGCAAACTTCCTTAATTTAATCATCCATGCTAATACGTTTCACATCAGTTTAATTTACAATTGACGTGACGCATTTTTCTTTTTCTTATTGTTTAATTATCAATTGATGTGGATTTCTTTGGTTCCCGCACTTAATAACATCCTTTAAATGAACTTGAATATTAAATATTGTATTAATTGCAACTTGATTTTGAGTAATTTTCACCTTATTGTTTATTGAATTTAGCTAAGTGGTTTATGCATTTCAGTACTTCCATTTAGCATATTTAGTGTAAAATCTCCTTAGGAAGCATGCATTATATTGGGTTTTCCCACATGTTATTATACATATTGGTGGATTATGTTTGGCTTTCCTTTGCAATCAATGATTTATGAGTTAATATAATTTGTGTTGACGTCTTTTATATTTTTTCATGAAATATTAAATATGCTAAAGTTAAATTGTTTGTTCTATCTACTTTAGAATATCACCCAAATCATTTGTCAAAGATATATTAGTGACCCATTAAATTTGGAGACATGATGAAATACAATCTTTTAGTGTAGAGGCAAATCCTTTTTTGAATGATAATGATGTTTGTGTGGGGAAAATAATGGCATAGAAGGGGATATTGCTAAAACCTGTAATGAGAATGAAGATGCAATTCCTATAGAAACAAAAAAATATCGAAATATGATATCAACTGTTTGGAATGAGTTTAAAGAAGTTACTCTTCCTAATAGACAGAAGAAAGGGCAATACATTTATTTCAGGAAGAACCTTTCCATAGGAAATACATAATCAGTAACACAATGTTGACAACATTTAAAGCTTTTTGCTATCAGAATCCGTTCCATCAGAAACTACAAAATTCTGCATTTTCAAGCCAAGGACATTGATTTAGCAGCTAACAGTTCACAGGAAAGTGGTAGTTTGACTACATTTGCTTATGTTAATTCTAAATTAAGAAAAAACATAATACATTATATTTTGATCAATGAGAAGTCATTTTTAGCTATCGAAGTATTTGGTTTAAATCTTGTTCTAAAGTCAATGTCACTTTATTTTTTAAATATTCAATAACAACAACTCATAGTGACGTCATGTTAGTATATAAGAAAGAGAAAAAAGGCTATAGAATCCATTGAAAAATATAAACCGAATCAATTTATCACAGACATATGGAAGTTAAAAAATTAAAGAATTACTTATATGGTTGTTTTCACACATTATGTTGACTCTAATTGGAAGTTGCAAAAGCATGTGCTAAGTTTCCTTCACTCGTCTTCTCTTCACACAACGTCAGAAATTGGTAATGCTTTTTACAAATCACTTAATGAATGGAGTTTAGAGAATAAAGTATTCACTGTATTAGTTGACAATGCTTCTAATAATGACCAAATCATTAAATTCTTTAAGGACAATTTTCTTGTCCGGAAGAAATTATTTTTTGGAGGTAGTATATTTCATGTTCGTTGTTATGACCATATCTTGAATATTATGGTAAAAGATGGGATTAAAAGTGTAGATTTTGTGGTAGGAAAAAATTGTGATACAGTTAGCTTTTAAAATGCATTTATTTCAGGAAGAACCTTTGAATAGGAAATACATGACCAATAACATAGTTTTGACAACATTTAAAACATTTTGCTACTAGAATATGTTCCATAAGAAACTACAAAATTATGTATTTTCAAGCTAAGGACATTGATTTAGCAGCTAACAGTTCCCAGGAAAGTGGTAGTTGACTACATTTGCTTATGTTAATTCTAAATCAAGAGAAAACATAATACATTATATTTTGATCAATGAGAAGTCATTTTCAGTTATGGAAGAATTTGGTTTAAATCTTGTTCTAAAGTCAATGCCACTTTTTTTAAAAATTCAATAACAACAACTCATAGTGACGTCATGTTAGTATACGAGAAAAAGAAAAAAAAAGGCTATAGAGTCCATTGAAAAATATAAACTGAATCAATTTACCACAGACATATGGAAGTTCAAAAATTAAAGAATTACTTATATGGTTGTTTTCACACATTATGTTGACTCTAATTGAAAGTTTCAAAAGCATGTTTTAAGTTTCCTTCACTTGTCTTCTCTTAACACAACGTCAGAAATTGTTAATGCTTTTTATAAATCACTTAATGAATGGAGTTTAGAGAATAAAGTGTTCAATGTGTTAGTTGACAATGCTTCTAATAATGACCAAATCATTAAATTCTTTAAGGATAATTTTCGTGTATGGAAGAAATTATTTTTTGGAGGTGGTATATTTAATGTTCGTTGTTGTGACCATATCTTGAATATTATGATAAAAGATGAGATTAAAAGTGTAGAGTTTGTGGTAGGAAAAAATTTGTGATACAGTTAGCTTTTAAAATGCATTTGAAGGCAAACTAGTTTGATTTGCTGATGTTGTTCAACAGTTATAATTGCCAACTAAAAAAACTAGTTATGGATTGTCTAATATGGTGAAATTCAGCCTACAACATGCTTATTGTGGCTCTTAAATTGAGGAAAACATTCTCTTCATATAGTGAGAGGGAGACATCTTATCATAACTATCCTACATAAGAGAAATGAAATAATATAGAGAAGGTTTATGATATCTTGGTTTTTTAATGAAGTAACAAACATCATTTCAGGTATTGAATATCATACTTTAAATTTATTTTTGTCTCAAATATGCACCATCAAAAAGGTTCTAAATGATGGCTCAAGATCTCCTGTCGAATTTGTTAGACATGACTAAAAAATGAAAGAAAAATTTGACAAATATTAGAGCGAATGTACCATTTTGATGTCATTTGGTGCTATTATGGATCAAAGGATGAAATTTCTTGTTATAGAGTTTTTATATCCCATGATTTATGGATATGAGAGTGCACAAAATATTTCATTTGTTCATGCATTGTTATATGAATTATATGAGGAATATGTCACTTGCTTTGAACAAGAAGTTAAAGTTGCATGTGACACATTTAGATAGGGGAGAGGCTTTAGCAGGGGAAAGTAACAGTTCAAAAATGACTCAAGAAGTTGATCAAATAAATATAGTACGTGGCTTGATTTCATGGCTTATGTATCTTAAAAAGCCAATAAGAAGCCTACAAAATCATATTTAGATAAATATCTAGAATACGGTTTATAGATTTATCTAGCTTGTTAGACATTCAGTGTTATTGCATGGTAGAAGAGCAGCTAAACAAAATATAACATATTAACCAGATTGGTTGTAGACATACTATTAATTGCTATTAGCACAATTATTTCAGAATATACATTTTTAGCATGAGAGAAAGTTGTATATACTTATTGTTCTAAATTGGATGTTAGACAGTACAAGCTTTGATATGCGGGTTGAATTGGGTTCGTGCCCACTAGGGATTGAAGGGCAGGACAAAGGTATTAATTTGTTATGCTTTCATATTTTTTTAATTGTTATTTTATTACTAACATATTGTGATATATATCATTTGTAGGAGGAGGATGAGGAGATTGAGATACTATTACTGTCTACATAAAATCATTTTCATGATAAATTGCATTTTATTCAATAATTTTCTAATCAAAGCTACATTCAAAAGATTTAATGTAAAGGAGATAACTTCAATTTTTATGATTTGTAGATTGATAACAAACTTAATGCAAAGATGTTGGAGGCTTGGAAAGTGGTATTTTTTGGCTGGACTTTATAATTTTCTAATGGCTCATTTTATGTATTTTGGTTCACTTTTGATTTATGCCAAGAGGCTAACTTTCTTTTTTGTCAATTGCAGGTTGTCAAATAATTGATTGATAAAGGTGATAGAAGCATGAAAATGTTATTCTCCAAAGGTCCAAGCCCAAAGTTAGAATCCCCATATTAGATCTATTACTAATAAAATTACACTCCATATATTCAGATTTATATTTACTCAAATGAAAAATTTTAGACCCTAAGGTTGAAATTCATAATTTAAGTTTACCTTCAACTCCCTCTCTAGTCTTATTAATTAGAAGAATATCATCAGTAAAAAATATACACCAAGGTACATCTTGCTATTAATGTCTAGTAAGAACATTCATGACAAAAACAAAAAAAATGTGCTTAAAGTTGATCCTTGATGTAATCCAACTGAAATAGGAAAATGCTTGGTCCAACCTCCTTGTGTTTGAACATAAGTAATAGCTCCTGCATACATATCCTTAATAACTTAAGTATAAGCATTATTAACCACTTTCTTTTCTAAAACTATCCATAGCACTTCTTTTGAAACTTTATTATGAACTTTCTCTAAATCAATAAATATCATAGGTAGATCCTCCTTATTTTACCTATACTTCCCCATCAAACCTCTCAATAAATATATAACTTCCATAATTGACCTACTTGACATGAATCCAAATTGATTTTGAGAAACATTAGTATTGCGTTGTAACCTATGCTCAATAACTCTCTCCCAAAATTTTAAAATGTGACACATTAACTTAATTTCTCTATAATTCGAACACTCTTGTGCATACCTTTATTCTTAAAAATATGATTCAACTCATTCCTTCACTCATTTGACATCTTTTTAGTCTTCAAAATAATATTGAAAATTTTTAGAAGCCAAGAAATTTCTTCATCTCTTAGGCATTTCTACACCTCTGTTGGAATATCATCAAGTGTAATAGCTTTTTCACACTTCATTTTTTTAAAAATCTCTCTAACTTTAATTTTATTAATATGTTAATGAAAATAAAATCTTTTATTCTTATTTAAAGTGTTAAGATTACTAATGTTAATCATATTTTCATAATCTTCATTTAAAAAATTATCAAATATCTCATACTCCTGTGTTGAATGTTCTCTTTTAATTAAATTACTTTTTGATCTTCATCATAAATGCACTTCACTTGAACTGAATCCTTACTTTTCTCATCTCATTGCTTGGCTAACTTATATATACACCCTTTTATTTTCTTAGTATCTATATATTATATAAATCATTAAAAATTAAATTCTTTGCATTAAATATTGCTTTCTTAGTATCTCTTCATGCTTCTTTATATTTTTTTCAATTTTTTGAATTTTTACATTTAAATCAATTTTATAACAAAGCTTCTTATTTTTGATTTTTTTTTACACATTTTGATTACACCACAAATTTTTTTTATTATTAGGAGTTTTCTCTGATATTCTAAGCATATCGTTTGTAACATTCTTAATATCATTAGTTACGTTTTTCACATAACATTAACTTCCTTATGTACAGTGAAAATATTAACTTCTTGAATCTTATTCTAAAAAATATTTTTGTTAGTGTTGTTTAAATGCCTCATAATCCTAAGATAATATTTTATTTTAGTTTTCATATTTCGCCCCTTTGTCTTTAATTTCAAAACTAATAAACGATGTTGAATATATAAACTTTCAATTGTAATAATTTTATAATCTTTGCAATCTAACTAATCTATTATATAAGGAAATTAATCTGAGTTTTACTATATCCATTCTTATAAGTAATGAGATGCTCCTCTTTTTTTTGTAAATATATATTAACAATTTTAAAATCATAAGCTAGAGAAAAATTTTATGTAGTCCTGTCATTTTCATTTGTCCCTATAAATTCATAATATCATGAATGTTTTTAAATATTCAATATCTCTACCAACATCTTCATTTATATCTCTTTCAATAAAAACATTCTTTTTAAATGATATCTTTTGTATTATTTTTTTAAATAATTCCAAAATATTAATTTTGAACACATCCAAACTTCTTTGAGGAGTATAAGTATTTATGATATTAATAATCTTAGTATCAACAATAATCTTAAAAATATAATTATATCTCAAATTTTATTAATTTTTATTATATTATTCTTTAAATTCTTATTTATAATCACACTACTCTATTTCTAGTAAGACTATTACCTGAATATCATAGTTTAAATACTAAATTATTAATCTTCTTAGCCTTCTCTTTAGCCCATTTAATTTTGAATGCATATAATATTTATTTTATTATGAATCATAACATCTATTAATTAAATTAATTTGTATATAAGAAAACCTATATTTCAAGTTCCCATAATAATTCTAGTTTTATAGACTGGATTCTTTGCCCACATTCATACGTGATGTAGGAACCCCTCATTTAACATTCTACCCGAGCACAGGTGTAGTGTTCCTTGCACACTTCTCATTATTTTCAAGCCATACAGCGTGTCGCTTCCAGGAAACACCCTAACATTAATGCAATGTATTAAAGGATTTATATCATGATTATTCGACAAGTTTTACGCTAGTTGTCAACTACCTAACATAACATTCTAATTTTCTCATCTGGGATTTAAAACTCGGCAACGACCGTGTTATGTATGGGCAAGCCAATTCCACTATAATATAAAAAAGATAATCTTAAGCTATTTTCATGGTACAATGGAATTTAGCTTCTTATATTCATCTGCAGTTGATTCAAATTTATTTGGTTAACAAACAATGTTTTGATTGTTGATCGATGATATCCATTCTATTAGGGGTGTCAATTTCGGGTCACAGGTCGGGTTCGAGTCGAACCCGAACCTGACACGTCACTATTCGGGTTAACCCGAACCTGACCCATTTTTACAAACTGGTCAGTTTTTCGGACCCGTACCCGACCCTCTTTGGGTCCAGGTAAACCCGACCTGACCCGACCCGAATGATCCGGTGCCAACAAAAAACTGCTAATTTTCGGGTCCAAAAATTGTTCACTATCCACTTTTCTGGTAAAAAATTGGTTAATCTCGAGTTGCTGGGTCAAAAACGAGTCAATTTTGGGTCAATAGGTCAACCCGAACCCGACCCGATTTTTGAAACGGATCGAATTGTTGAACCTGAACTCGAACCCGACCCATTTTGGATTCGGGTCAACCCAAACCCAAAATTTTCGGGCCAGGTTTTTGGTCGGGTCCAATATTGACACCCCTACATTCTATCTTCCTTCTAGAACCTGTTCATGAATCAACTTGAAGAAAAATGTCATAGCATTATCATTAACAGAGGTTAAGTACGTGCAAGCAACAAAGGCAACATCATAGAAAATATGGTTAGAAAGAATTTTAGAAGAAATTGACGAGCAGCAAGCAGTAGCAACATTGTTTTTGTGATAACAATTCAACTAATGCGATAACTATCCAATCATTCATGATCAGACCAAACATATCGCAATCAAATTTCATTTTGTATGTGAAGTCAAGTGAAAGATGAAAAATTAGCCAACATATTTTTGAAGGCACTTCCTACTGAAATTTTTTTATAGGAAATATGAGTTCTAAAAGAAACTGTGTTGAAGACTGTTGAGAAGTAATTCAATGGCTCTACAAATGTACATATAACACCTACAAATGTTCTAAAATTTAGGCTTTTATGGTAGTATTTTGAACATCTTGTTGTTAGAATGAGGTATTGTTTGAGACGGCTTTCTTACTGTTTCTTAAAATAATTTTTTAATACAAAAAATAAATATTTTTTGTACTAAAAAGTTGCTTAAAAAGTATTAAGAAAGCCGCCCAAACGAAGGCTTAATCTAAATATTTTAGAGTTACTCAAAATTAAAATATTTCTTCAATTTATGTTGTGACTGAGTTTGTTAATGCTCATATGTCAAGAACTAGCTGAAGAGATTTTTTCTGTTTCATCCACTCATATATGTTTTTCATATTACCATGAACAAATTGTTCCTTGAATTAAATTTTTTTTGTTCAGTTTATCAGTTAGCAAGCATGGATTTCTTTACAGAAAAGTCAGACCATGTTTGTCTAATAGCTCTTGATACTCTCTTGCAGAATTTATGCCACGATGGAGCATTTATGCCTTGGTTCCCCCATCTCTATACAAGTTAGAAGATAATGCCAAGCTGCATTAATTATCTTAGTTTATTAGAGTTACACGGTAAAATTTTGGAATCTCTCCCTCTCTCCCTCTCTCTTTTCACCACAGTTGCAAATGCAACTCATTTTGATTTGTTGATTGGGAGCTTTGGTTACTAATCAAGGATTAATTATTCTATGCGGATGCCGAACGCGGTTCGGAGACCAATCAGAATGCACCATGTCACCCTTATGTTCGGTATCGTGTTACTTCTCGGTATTGCAGCTCAGTACCACTGACGTGGTGCATTCTATTTAGTCTTTGAACGACGTTCTGCATCCAGTCTTCGTACAGAAAAATTTCTCCCAATCAAGAGGTCTTGGATTGAAGCTTATGTATGTGATGTATGTGCGAATTTATCTTAATTGACTCAATATTTCTTGATTTTGGCTCATAAGTAACTCGGTTAAGATTTTTTTCTCTTGAATTTTTTATTTCTTAGTATCATCATCTTATTTCTGAACAATTAACCGAAAATCTTTCTTTAACAAGTTATAATTTTTTTTAATAAAAATGAGTTATTTT